CAGTTGCTTCATAATTCACTAGATTTATGATGAAGTCAAGTTCGGTTTTAATGAGAAGCGTTCAGCCTTACTAGATAACTATGAAATCATATTTTAAGGCTGAAATATTTTAGGCAATACAAAATATATCACTTTAAAAAAGGGACAACGGACACATAAATTAATAAGTGCTGAAAAAAATGCGGTTGTTGGTCATATACTGCCGAACTTCACATTGTAATTTTTCACCGTCGAACGGAATACCTCCCGACTTTGATCTTTTTGCGGGTGTAACAATGGCGTTTGGATTTTAAGCTAAGGGATTAAAGTGAGGCAAACCATTAAAATCTTTTCATTTTGTTTAAAGGGCATATGCGGTGCACAGTGCTCGACACCACCGAAAACAAAATCACTTGGGACGTTGAAGAGCGCATATTACCATCGAGTGTCAAGAACGCAGACAAATATGATGATCTCGCACAAACGACCCGTCCTGAAACAGTCTGTTTTACTATATCGAAAGTGCACTTTCGAGACTTGGATACTGCCTTTACCAAAGCACTTTACTAACTCTCTACGCCGCATGAGCTGAGTTTCTCACATCAGAGGCATATTTTTAAGTCCTCTTGTTTGTCATTCCCTAAATACGTCATATATTCAGGATTTGACCACCTCTCCACTGTCCCCAATTAAGCTCTAGGAACACAACGCCACCGCATCGAAACTTGAGGTCTGTTGTCATACTAGAAGTCCTTTCGAAGTTTGCGAAGTCACAATCCTCGATTTGATTTGCAACCAGGATTCGAGCGGACAAGCTTAAAAGAACTCAGAGAACAAACGTAGGTTGATCCATGACCGAGTGAGTGCTGAAGAGGTAATCGAGACATGAAGGTATTTCTGGTCCCGTGTATTTTGAACGAATTTGACCTTCTCGTGCTTACAAACGCTTGCGTTATAATGGGGAATGGGAAATAAGGCATCAATTCTAAAACGCAATTAAAAAGAAATTATGCACTAACATTCTTCAGTCATGAAACCGGCAACAATATTTTGGGTTGTAGACATCCTTAGAAAATTGAGTATCTCCGTTAGAGAATTGCTGAACGCTTTGCATAATAATTTCGTCAGATGTGCCAGGACTTGGGCAAAAGTTGGGAGAGGCACTTGTCTTGTATAGCAAATAAATCTTTACTATCACTTAAAACTACTTAACTCCATCTTTTAACGAGAAAACATCTTCAAGTTAATTAAATGCTTTCTAGTTTGCATTTAAGGAGAGAGAGATTTGTTTTTTGCACCGACACGTTGACGATCATGTTAATTTGACTCCACTAATTGAAACTCTCACGGGAATGGCTGGGTTCAACTATTCATAGCCCCGTGGTTTATTAACAGATCTACCTTTATGACGCTCGAAGCCTTCCCAAGACGATGACAGATGAGTAGCAGTGGACAGTGCGGCATCTGTCACATAAATCTTCCCCAACTATTGACTGTTACAAAAGACAGTGCTGTTTATAACGACGCAGGTGGTGCTCTGAGAGACTGTAATGTGCCGCTAAGTCAGGCGCATTAGCTGATAACTCTTCCTTCCTCGTAAGCCGGATCGCGAAAAGTAACTAGCATTGCGCCCTTTGATACAACCTAGTGGTCTTCAACGCAAGCGCCTCTTCTTTAGATCTCTTTCTCAAGATGCTAAACTATCTGATGGAATTCTTAAGTTAGGTTAATGTTTAGTGTCGTTATTACCACACTCCAGCCTACAATCGCCAGGCTATCAGAAGTTCAGAATGTCTTTGCTTTTGTCCACATTTCGCATAAGACACCACAACGAACGTCCAAAGTCTTTCAAATTCACTTACCTTCGTACAGGGTGCCAGATTGAGCTGCTGCTTGGGGAAGTAGTTGGATTCCGAAGCCGCAAGCATAACAATCAGATCATTTCCAAGGGGTTAAAGGGCGAATGACGTTGGCTTAAAACTAATCACTGAAGCAGAGGCAAGCACAAAGTGACCCTGAATACCATTTTGAAGTTGAAAAATATGGAAGGCCAAACGTCTCATGCAGAATGAGTGGATCAAAGACAAAAGTCTCTCTTTGCAGAAGGCACAGCGTTGAACTGTATGAAAAGTTGATTATGCAAGCAAAAGGCGTCAATATGAAAGATATTATTACTTAAAACGGAGAGTGTTTTTAAGAATAAAATGGAATTGATAAATTTATCATTCAAATTTTCGTGTTGTGGGGAAATTTTAGACGAAAATGTCTGATTCCATTATCGTGTTCACTTTTTATTGTGTGATGGTTGCCCGGCCAACTAATTGCCTTCAGTTCGGCCGCTGGCGAGGCGGGCAACTTGCCGTTCACTGACGTCTTTGTTAGACAATAGGCACGTCGGCACAGCAATTGCTAGTAGTTATTAATAGTTTATAAATTACTGCGAATAGGCGAGCTTTAAATAACTACAAATGTGAGATTTCCTGCATTTTGGATCTTGAGCAGCGCAAAGTTGGACAGATTGTCCTGTTTGCCGACTTGATCAACCGGTTGTCATTTAGGTGTTCTGGCCACAGCAGAGGTAGACACTGAAGTCACTGAGTAATTGGTTGATTGTAGTGGCCCTTTCAGCCAAAATTCGATCCATAAATTATTGCTGTAATGAAAAATACCAAGATGCATTCAAAATGAAGGGACAAACTGCGTAGAAGGGAATTGAAAAAGTTGGTAGAAATACACAATCTCTTGGTTATTTGACCAGTGAAGAGGGTGGACTGCAAAGGTGCGCATTTCTGACTGAAAATTAGAAATGATGCTTGTGCGCCAAAGAGTGGTTTGATCATGCTGAAAAAGAGGATGAAAAAGGATTCCAGTGGGACATGGAGCATGCTGGGGCTTTTAAAGTACTGAAGTAAAGGTTCGGCTCCATGCTTCTGATTAAGTGTGCATATTACCATCAGAACTCTGCGGCTCTTCAAACCGGTGGAAACTAGCTATTACATGGTAGCAGTCACATTACAAAGGGAGGTAGATTGGCTGTCTGTGGCAGAATTAAGTGTGAACGATGGAGAGGTGGGAAAGCAATTTAAACACCGATCCAGTTCGTGTGGAGCGTGAAGATACGTTCTCAGGTTGACATCAGCTTTCCGTCTCATCAATCTTTTTCCATTTTCTTTTTCTGTGCCTCTTCAACTAACTCTCTCCTAGTTCAGAGGCCTGAGGGTAGGCAGGCAAGCAACTCTTACGCTTCCTTCAAAGGAAAGAGGACACAGCGGATGTCCTGCCTCGTAAATTAGTCGTGGTGTAAATCGATGATATTGTAGTAAACAGCATATTATTAAAAGTTATTTGAGAATTATGCAGGGGCCCGGTCCCAACGCCAATCTGATGCACACGATCTTATAGCCATATTCTTAGAAATCCATATCTAAAGAGGCGAGTTCTCTGAAAGAGGCAATCCTACGGATGTGAAAGTTTTGATAAAACCTCCCTTAAGGGGATGAGATGCCATTGTGCAAAGAGGGCTCAAGACTGTCTAAGTGTCTGAAGGCTCTACACACATTAGTAAAAGCAAAACTTAAGAGAAAACATAGATCTCACGTCTGTTGTAAAATAAGCCATAGAAGTAAATTCTGTGCTTTCTTTCATGAGACATAACTTCCTTTCTCAGTGGATACAATTAGAGGGAGCAACCTCAAAATTCAACATTTCTCTAGGACGCTTGCACTTGCAAAGACACAGCTTTTCTAGGGAATTATTATTCAAGCCATTGCAAAATTTTTAAATTACAATTAAATAGGGTGAAACGCATTCAGAAATTAAATTGTGTGAAAATCTCGATTTCATATATACTCATGTTTCAATTGCTGGTAATGAGCTAGAAGGCTTCAAGAAGGTGAGGTGCTTGTGACGCTTCAAGTCCCACCTTGGTTGTAAAAATACATTGACAAGGGACGCTTCAAGCAGAACACCCCTCCAAAATAGGTCCTCTATGGATGGAGCAGTAAACGTTTGTTTAGCCTAACAGGTTACCAGACAAGTTGCCGCCGCCAAGTCCTTTTAGAGAGATATTCTCCACTCTGAATGAAAAGATAATTCGCTACTTAGGTTCAGAGCTTTAGCTACAAGCGCCATATACATACAACACCACGGCACACCTCGTCAGAAGTTGGAAAAAAAATAAGCTGCACTCACAACAGTTATTTTCTTTAAAAACCAAGCGTTGTTCCAGATTTAGCAATTCGTAAATCTTGATGCACAGAATAGGGGTACCTTCGCAGCGATCACCAACCTTAATTCGAGATCTTGGTGACAAAATGTTAAAGTGGAACTGGTCGTGAAGTATCGTCGCTTTCGACAGGAAGTCAATATTTCACACCTCTGGTTCACATATGCACCAGCGCCAAGTAATATGACCACTCAATGCTTCATTTTAATGGAGGCAATTAAATCGAAAACTTGAATCGATTCGAGTGCTTCCATATCAAAAACCACTCTTCCAACCACATACTTTCTTATAGAAAAGCATCCAAAAATAAAGTAGTCTCTTCCACATTTATTTCTATGTAACAATGTGGTAGAGCCAGATATTGCTAGACTATTCCAAGACCTTAATAAGACAGCTACTGAAATAAAATTAAGTAATATAACAGCCAAAATCATAATTCCTTCCCAAATAAAAAAGACGACATTACAGACAAATGATTAGGGATGATGTGCTTCCATCGAAATTGACAAAAAGAGAGGGCTTAGAGCGTGAATGCACTTTATCTTGGGGCATGAGGGTCACACGGTAATAATGATAATTGAGAGATAGAGAGAGCGATAGATGATGGTTGCACACTAAATGGCGAGGAGGCAACGGAAGAGGTACAAACATGCATGCATGCGAAAGATTTTGTTTCTAAGTGTCACAATGCATAGATCATTAGGGGCGAGTGAAGGTGAACCAACTAAGAAAGAGGAGAGAGCATCGTCTAAAAATGCAAGGAAAAAGAGTGAGGGCTGACGACAACCAGAGGCGCCTAGCTGGTAAGTTCACGCCGGACAATCCATTGATCAGCCGCTTGGACACCTGTTAAAGGAGAGGAAGTTTTCGTTGCTATCGTTTTTGACGCAGAATGTGGCACTGAGTGTTTGACAACGCGTGTCTGCGGGGGACGGAGGGCTGAGCCGCCCGGGGAAGACGAGGAAAAACCGGGCGGTTTCAAACCGGACGTCGCGACTCGTTCGGCTGCCGACGGCGTCGGAGTCGGAGTTGGCATAGAAGTCTGGCTAAGTGGGCGGGCGGTAGTCAGTCCAGATTTGTGCCGAACGACTGACGTTGGAGCCAGGCGCGGCGAAGGACTGATCGCCCTGATTGGGACAGTGCGATGAACAGATGAGGTTCCAGCGATCCTCGATTTACGAACTATAAGACAAAAGGAGAGATGACAATTAAAGAATGCTTTCACCAGAGTTAAAACTGGCAATTAAATATGAATCACTCTCGTAGAATGTCCAATTACTTAGTTACACAGACATTTCAATCACCTGAGATTAATCCCCACCTCGATGGCGTTGCTGCCCGTGCATAGCTCTAGCCTCGTAGACCTCACATACCTCAACAATGCAACCTCTTTCATAGTGGTACATCTTATTTTGGTCAGAAGAATGTTCATATCAATAATGAAGAACAAAAATTCCACCACCTTGGTAAAAAAAACTGTAAACATAAAGTAAAGCAGAATCCTCAAACACTGAATAGATTTAAATTTTGTTTTTCGTTCAAACAATTTACGCCCAACCATTCTCGGAGACGCCTTTCGATTTTGTAAATAAAAGCTGACAACAGGATGATAAATGAAAAGGAGAGACCAGACCTGTTGAGGCAGAAATCTTGCGTCCTCCACGAACCCCTTTTGTTTCCTCCTGTAGACGCAGTTGTTGCCTTTCCTCCGCCAATGCCTCACTGCGACACCCCGCCCTAATTACCCTCTTCGGAGCAGCTGCCGTGTCTGGCTTTTTTGATGCAGTTGTGGCAATATTGCATGAAGCCAACGGTTTTAGACCGCTCCGTGGTACAATGCGTGCTGATCCACCACTTCCAGTGCTCCAAGACGGACTGGCTCCGAGGCTTCGCGAGGTCATTGTTGCTGATGGCGCAGGTGTAGTTGTGTAACGCGGAGGCGTAGCAAGGCCAGAGGTCATACTGCCCGTGGCAGAAATGGAGCGTTTAGCCACCAATGATCGCGTCCCATCAGTCAATGTTTTCCCTGTTGATGGAGTTCCAAGTCGAGGTAAAGACGTGGAGGAAGCGGTAGAGACGACGCTGCTATTCAAGCGGAACTTTGGGAGCTGTATGTAAAATTTACACGCAGTACAATCAGAGGCTAAAAAAGTGACTGAATCAATAAGAAAGTCTGGTACCACAGAACATACGAAATTCGTTGAATTAGTTTCGATTCAAAAAGCGTAGTCGCATGCAATTATTGAGTACAGTTCATAGAACAAATCGCTACCGCATTGAGTGAAATAGCTCATTTCATGTCTTAATAAAGCTAACCAACTCCAAAAACAACCGCTCGCCATTTGATGGCGAGCAGTGAACATCAACAATCCGGTCAAAGCAATGCCATCAAATATTTATTGAATTAATCCTATTTTATTTGACCACAATTACTATGGGGTCATCCAATACAAGAAGGAAATGACTATGCAATATGCACAAAGCCTACACAATTTTGAATTCCTGATTACAATACCTGAGGCAAGCTACCGCCAATAGCGGATGGAGAAGGTGTGGCTGACTGAGCCCTAGAGCCTGACAGACGCTGTGGCGAGACAGAGGTCGAGGATGATGTAGAAGAGGTTGAGGATGATGCTGTGGATGGTCTTGAACGGGAGAGCAGCCCATTAGCAGGTCTGCGAATGCCTGCGTTAGGTGGCCGCAAGAGACTCGAGCTAGGACTGGCAATCTGACTTTTACTGGGTGCTATCACGGTCGGAGGCTTGATGCTTAATGGAGTGGTCAGGTCCTTTTGTGGTGAAAGTTCAAGTGGTTTTTGAGAATCTACCCCCAGATTCAGATTGTCATCGGATTGATTCATCATTGCGTCGAGATCCAACAACTCGTCGTCCTGATCTTCAACCTGGAAATGGCGATTATGTAACTTTTCTTCGAATCATGAGAATCGGAGTTTATGCATAAAATCGACTTACTGTCTTGTCATCATGAGGAGGCGGTGTTGAGGGTGGAGATGGTCTCCAAGGTGGGCTACTGTCACCCACCAAAGTCACAGAATCATCATCAGCATCAAAGTTACCCGAGGGTGGAGGCAGTGGGAAAAACTCATCGTCAGTGCTCTTCTTGTCCACTTCAAAGGGTTTCAATACTGCAGAGCGAAAGCAAATGGGCAGTAAAATTTGATCTGTAGTAGATTTACCTTTAGAACGCTCAAAAATAGTGAACCATTGTTTTCTATTAAGAGTTTAAATTAAGTCTCCAAATGGACAAAATCTGTGTGTTAGGTGGGTAAAAGGTTAAATAATTTATGACAGCACTTCCACAATGTTTAACGACGAACGAATCATGCGATGAAAAAACAATCGATGTAAATAGGATTGAAAGTTAAGGAAGCATCAAGGAACCCTCTCCTTCTTCTAATCCTTCAAAAAATCAAAGGCCTTTCCACAGAACGAACACAAAATGTCACCTGTGAATGCTAATTTTAGGCAACGTGATAAAAATTGGCTCCTTTCAGCATACCAGTAGTGGGTATGTTGGTTTTGACTGGGATGGTGGTAGAGCCTGCAGATGTCTTAGCGCTGTCTCGTGATGCGATGCCAGACATTGAGTGAGGAGCCTTTAGAGCTCGCATTGCTGCGTTGTCGCGAGCTGGGGCCACTGCTGCTGATCCCACAACCGTCTTCGGGTTCGTCCGCTTCCTCATTTGGGCAAGGTGACTGCTGGTGTTGGTTGAAGGGCTGTTGGCTTGGATCTGGATGGTCTCCGGCCTGCTGGTATGCGCGTCTGCAGTGCCGGAACCATGAGCTAAAAAATGTCCAGCCCTTCGGAGTCCACTGACACTCCCTCCCGTACTATTGCCGCTAAGAGAAGTTGTTTGTTGCCGCCTTGGTTGAAGCAGAACTTGCTGTTGTCTAGGACTTGTTGTGATTTCGGACACGGCGAGTGGAGAAGGTGATTGAGACTGCGGTGAAACTGGTGTTGTGATTGGTGCAGTAGCAGACGGAGCTGGAAGCGAGTAGCCGAAAGACTGTTGGGTATGTTCTCCCATTTTGGCTCCACCAATCCCACGACAGGAAGATGAAATTGGGAGCTTTGGTGTTGGCATTGCAGAGGAGATGCACTCCTAAAGCAAGAGAAAATGAGTCAGTTAAAACTAAATCCTTTGAAATATCTTAAAATAATGATGTTCACCTGAAGGAGACTAGTTTCAACACCGACTGACTCGATACTTAGGAGCGAAGAGAAGGAGGAGTTGTCAGCATCACTGCCACTGGTTTGTTTGCCTTCCGACTTTGTAGTTTCATCAGCAGACACCGTTTGTCGCTCTAAAATCCATCCATCTTAGTTATGGCATTTGATAGTTTAACAGGTCATTGCTGACCGCCACAGCTTCATAATGAAAAGAAAATGCGTATAACAGTTAAGATTCAAGTGTCGAGGCAGAACTTGGGACAAAAGGATTCAGTGCAAGTGATAAGGCAGGATATTTTCACCAACACCAATCATAAGTGCGCCTTGGGTTTGCCTAAAGGTCATCCCTAAAGTTGGCGGTTGACAACTGTGAAAGTCAAAAATGAAGCATAGGAAAGATAATACATTTATCACGAAAGAATCGATGAACAAAAAGCAACAAGAACTTAGTTTAACATTTCCGCTGCGGAGGTGGAATTTGAGCAAGTTTTACATTTAACCATGCGCAAGTGATAGACTAAATTCAATGTTTACCTGGTCCACTTTGAGAGATGGTCACAGAGTATAGTAAACACCTATCCATCTACCACAAATAAACATCGCGTTTCATTTAAACTCACCTTCAACATTCCGTTGCTGCATCGGGGCTACAGTAGCTTGTGGTCTCCTCTGTTGCATTGAGTGTCCAAATCCGATTCTTGGGGCAACTAGCTTACTCCCACCTATTGCCTTATTGTGCCCTATTGCTGAAACGTCTTCAGCACTGTCTACGCCAACGGCCTCAGTATGCCCTCTCGTCGTCGCAAATCCACCTTGTTTCGGTAGTGCCGACTGTATTACTTCGGACAGGAGGTTCACAGATCCGTCCTCTTCTTCTACCTCATTTACCGAGCTTGCATCCTCCGTGGAGCATGTATATACGTCGCCCTTCAACATTGATTGTCTTGGCGAGGTCGATTTCGAAAGTTCTGAAGAGGTAGAAGTACCTCCACAACCACCCTCCAGATCTGTAATCGATACGTCACTTAGTGAACTGTTCTTCGTTGAGAAGGCGAATGGTGTGCCTTCTACCGCGAAGGACTGGATCGTGTCTTCGGTAGGAGCAACTGTACCGCCTACATCGCCATCAGGATAACTGATTGCTGGCTGAGTTGCTAATGAAGCTGATGGCATCACTGAAGCGATGCATTGCTGAAGTATGTTGCGTGAAGACTGAACACTATCTACTGTGGGCTCTGGAGTATTCCACATCGGTGGCGCAGTTACTGCAGACTCACGATCGCCACTAAGGGAACTGCTGTCCAGTGGAGAACCTTCTTCCGCGAACATTATTTGAGTCTCCTCCTCCACCACACCTATCTTTTCCACGTTACCTAGAGGCATGGATTTCTTCCCATCTTCAATTAATGAAGGGGGGAGATTACTGGGACTCGTACCAAGAGCAATTGCCTCATTGGGATCCCCATCGTCGTCATCCAAAGCAACTGAATAAACACTCTCCGGAGATGACTCGATCGGTGGAAGCGGTCCAAAATCAACAGATGAGATACATGAGGAAGTAGCTCTGGAAAACATAAGAGGAGTCTCTAGAACGACCCCAGTAGAAGACGTTTCAAAACCTGGCGAAGAACCTTCACTAGAAGGGACCTGTTTAATTGCAGTACTTTTGGTTGACACGTCAACGTTGACGTAAGGGTGGACGGAGCGGCGTTGTGAGGGAACAAAATTGTCATAAATAATAGAGGGCTCTTGTTTTGGGGGCGAGCGTAGATCGAGTGTGGATGCTCGTGCAGAGGGTCCAAAGGGTGTCCCCTCCTCTGCATATACACACGCTTGCTCCTCTTCTTCCACTGAGCCTTGAGCATAGCCAGGCGGTGGAGGAGGAGTAGGCGGTTTCTCTATCGAGGCGTTTACGTGGTGATCATCAGGAGTGGAAGGATATTCAGGTAACTTAAACTCCGCCTCCTCTTCTCCACCAGCTTCTGAGACTTTTGAAGAGCATTCGGTGCTTCGTTCCTCCTCTGGAACGCTGTCAACCTCGTCAGCTCCCTCCTCTTCATCCTCTTCACTGCTGGATTCTTCATTGCTACTCTCTTCTTCTTCCTCAAAGTCGTCGTTAGTCTCTAGAACCACGGAGAGCAGACCAAAACGTAGGTGTGATCGATTACTCATCCGTCGGCGATAGACCTGCTCTGCTGGTGAGGCAGGAGAATTAGAACCAGAAGACGATTGATTACTTGTGGCAGGACTGGTGGTTGTGGTGGAAGGATTGAACGAGGATGCCTCTGTATTGGCAGGGTAGGGCACCACACGTTGATTCTTTATGAGAACATGGGCTCGTTCAAGGTTCTCAAGAGCCTGTTTGGAGCTACTGACTACGTAGCGATGACGAGAGTGTGCCAAACGATGGAGAATATCAAGAGCACCTAGACGGATCATCAAAGCTTGGTCCGTAGTGGCAGACTCAAAAAGAAGAGCTGAACTGGGTTTTGCATCACGAAGGGGTGTCGCCGAGAGAGCTCCTAAAACCTCACAGACATTCACCACAACTGTAACGCTCGGTGATGTCCGTAGCTGTTCCAGAAGAATTGAGATGCAGTTATGCGTCCGAAGCACTGCCCTACAATTAGTTTCATGACAATGAAACGATAGTGAATGAGGGACCAATGAAGAAAAAGATAATTTAAACACCTACCGATATTCCAAACTATTGACAATCACGGGACAGAGATTGCGCAAAACGCCTCCACTGTTGGCCTTAATTTCCACATCCTTGTTGGGGTTCTTAGCATCAAGAGTTGATACCAAGAAAGCAAGGGCACCGTTTACACTGAAATTTAACGGAAAACGGTAATTTAAAATGCAACTGAGGTATTTTGCAAAGGTGTTTAATAATAACCTCTCAGCAGCACCAGTTCGTTGCCCCGCATTATGCAAAGTGAAAATAACTGGTTGATTCAATGGACAGCCCTGGAAAGTTTCTGCGCCAGCTTAGGAAAATTGCTGATAAATAAAGTATTCTCGGGACCTTCGCTCGCTAACACCACAAACTGCCATCTGAGCATCTGCAATTTGAGTTATGTCGACACGTGTGAATCAAACGGAAGGAAGCGTTTGTACCTGAATCGAATAGCCAAGAAAGCATTACCTTTCTGCACAGGTTACTCTTGAGTTCTTCTAGGAAGTGTCGAGTGAAGAGAAAAAATAATAGCCGTCTAAGCATATGTTATACTATTGCTTTTAAAACGTTGCGTCAGTTTTCGTGATAACCACGCAAAGAATAGTGTAAAGAAAGGCAGAAAGGTCTGCGGAATCAACAGTAGCGTCACTAGTTGTAGAAGGAGAAACAGAGAAAGCAAAAATCTCTACAATTAATGAGAGGTGAACTAACGGATAACCACATCAAACAAGCTGGTGTAAGTTTTTTAATGCAAGGATGATCAAATGAGCAATGGAAATGTTGATAGTGGAGGAACTGCAGTAGTAAATGCTCCAATTTTTAGTCTTATGGACCCTTTCTAAGGCTACACTCCTGTACTTCCGTTCTGTGTCATGAAAATGACCACTGCCTTCAGCAACTGCTCTAGCTACGTGGCCTGGAGAAGTGCTATTAGCAAATGAAGTGGCAATGGATACAAAGCATCTGTACGGAGATGTCAATAAGTTAAGTAGACGACACCTTTCCTCCTTCCTCCACCAGTTAGATAGAGCAGTTAAACGCGTGTATAGACAGCACTGGAATGAGAACGGAGTACCAAGGAGGAATAGAAAAGGAAGATTATTCCCACGAGGTTATCTAGCCTCCATTCTTTATGAAATACCTCCCTTTTCAACTAGCGTCATTACGACCGATGGGAGACATATGATAGCCAGTCCCAAATATGGTTCCAAAACAGCATCAAACTCTAGATCAATCAAAATCAACAAGAGAGATCAGTGGCGGGATTGTCAGAAATTATATATGCTGTGCGTGAAACGAATGTGGTTGATTAGTAGGATTTTCTCCATAGGACTGATGCAAGGATTGACGAACGAGAGGTCAGAAGGCAGCGAAAAAGATGACCATGCGATACTTTGATTATTTTTTTCGTTCAAATCCCGTGGACACTTAAGACTCAATTATGTAGTTCCGCTTGGGCCTCATTGATTTCGAACCACGGCAAGCACATATCCCGCTCGAGTGCTGTCTTCTTTCAGGAAAGCGATGGAACAATACGGTAAATGGTCAAACAGTAAAGCAACCTCTCATCACAAACCTAAGACTTCGACTCAAAAATTAAATTGTTTTGAGAGCTGGCGGCAAGGGGTAGAGCATTGGCTCCACAAAGCTATGTAAGCAAGTCTAATTTCCTCCAAGCATTGAACCTTATTCCGCATTCCGTAAGCCTGATGGTGAAAAAACAGCGATCGCAATCGGCATCATTGTCACCACCATTTACAATACTGAAATTTTAAAGTACCTAAAGTTGAAAAACACCAAAAACAGAGAACGGCACCATCTCTGAAGAGCCAAGAAAAGGATGCCGAAAAAATGCCACAATTACAGTCGCTTTTCATAGTGTTGCAATTTATATTATGGTAGTGAGGGTACATTAATCAGTGTAGAGCAGATATTTTACGGCGAATCAAAAAGACTAGAAACGAAATTACACCTTTACAACAAGGTAAGATCCGAAGGGACTATCATCGAAGAGTCGGCTGAAGTAATATCATTCGCGAAAGCAATGCCAAGAGAAGCAGCAGAAGCAATAGTGACCAAAGCACACGTAGGGAAGAGGCATTGGCAGTGATAAAAGCGCCCCAGGGTTGCGCTACATCAATGCCCAAAAAGGCAAAAGCAGTAGTCTCCCTTCATCCGCAGCGACAAAAAATTATAGGCCACCAAGCATAGAGATAAAGCAGACCTTGATCAGCAGCTCTCACACCGCTCTGATAACAGCATTTGTAGCTACTGCGCCAACCAACAGCTGCAGCAGTAACTGAAGGAGTGTTGGAGATTACCGTGTCTAAAAAATACTTTCGCAGCCCTTCGACAACAGGACTTATTGCTGCGTTGATGGCGATAAAAGCCATAGCAGTAGCGGTTATTGATGCAAGAGTAGCAGTTGAAGGAATGACGGTAGTATCACCCTTCATAAGGAATTATTTCTACATGGTGTCGCAAGAATGAGGTAATAAAAAGGGAAAATTGTTAAATGCCTCAATTAGTATAAACACAAATCCTATTTAACGCACTCCGGAACCCACGGGTTTAAAGTTGTGAATAAAAATTTCCGGATTTGCCTATTGCTGTAGACAGTGTCATCAACAATTGCAGAGACGACAGTGACATTGTCTTAAAAAAGAGGAAGAGTAAAGAATGGAGAACCATTGAAGGAGATAGACACCAAAAAATTACTTCAACTGGTTTCATTCACATGGACGTGTTAAAATTAACTATTGCCAGTTTTAAGTTTTACCCAAGTCATTTGCTGCTAGAAAAGCAGCAACAGCAATTTTACAACAAAGCGCCTGAAAGTTGGTGACCTAGAGAGTCCAAGCGGTACGTTTAGAAGTACACCAATTGTAAGGAGCATGTAGACAAGATAGAAACAAGAGGAATACCTGCAGACAGCCTTACGGTTGGCAGTGGAGTGGGAGGAGAGATTCCACAGAGCATTAAGTGTGGTGCGAAGGGTAGCCTCACGCTGTGCCGAGAGGACAGCACGAGTGAGTCGCGTGGCCGCCTGTGCCCGACGCAGAGCCGCCTTGCTTCGCGCGTCTGTGTGCCAACTCAGATTCCGCAGCACGCTTGCTGCCACCTTTCAAAGGGTACAAACCGAGACAGCAAATTCTCAATGTCAGTAACAATAGCCCAAATTAAGCAAGGTTTACGAGCTGATAAAAATAACAAATTAAAAGTTAAAGTCGGCATGCGTTTTGGAGTCAACATTCTGTTACATAACATGCATTTATCACGGCGTTTGCCAGATAACTGAGAGCTTTGACACCATGCCTCACGGCGTCTGCAATGGCTGCTACTGTGTAGTGCGACGTAATTTCGTGGTCTGAATTGAACGTCACCTGTGTTTTACGTGTAGGTATCCACAAGACGCCCATCTCACAGTGACCTATGCACTGGTTACCGGTGATAGTAGTCACCCATCATTCCACGTACATTGGATAAAGAAATTGCCTTAAGATTATAGAAGAATTGTATGGATCCAATCTTTCACAGGTATACTATTCTCAGAAATAAACACTGGATTACCTTTGTAAAAAAAGACATACAAGAAGTCGGTTGGAAGGCAATCAAAACATTCACTTGTTGAATGCAAAAACATCAAGATTGAAAGGCGAGCGATGGAGTTATGGGCTTTCACTGTGGAAGATATTAGAGTAGGGGTCCTTACTTTAAAATCACTCCATCTTCAAGCTTTACGACAAATACTCGCAATGGAGGAACTTGAGTTTAAGCATCTTGAAAATCTCCTTTTAAAGAACAGTCCCCAAGATCGGTATTGAACATACAATTATCAAACTCGACTAAGACACTGTGTCCTTTACCACCCCATATTTAGCTAATTCTTCTTATAAAAAGCAACTGGTGAGGAACAAATTCATCGCATAATAGTACTACCACTTAACGGAGATGGGGATACAAAGCAAATTCATCCAGAGCCACGTAAAGTTGACAATAGCATGAAAAAATAAATCAAAAACCAAGTACGAATGATTGCGAAAATACATTTAATGCGGACAAAAAAGTAGGTCAAGTAGGAGGGCTAGATGCGTTCCGCCAAACTGATAACTGACTTTGAAACATCAAACTGTATCGTCGATAATGTCTTAGACGGCTGTAACGTGATTAATTACCCTAATGCGCTGCACTACATTAATTTGAAATGGGATGCTTGACTTTAATCGCCCACTAAGGCCGATTCAATTCACTTCTTGTCGTGACGACCAAGCTCTGAAGCCCCCAATGTGCCTACAACTTATAGGCCGTGGATGTACGTAGTTAATGCGTTCAAGTAGGAGGCCACCACATCGGTCTGCATAATTTGGAATTTATTTTCATCAACAAAACTGGCATTAAGCTATTTCGCTCTACCCATTATGCCGTTGGTCTTGTCCGCCTATCGGTCTTGTCATTTTAGTGTGGCCTTCCGCAAATCTGTTTAGCATCTTCTTTGCATAATGCTCTTCCGCTTTTGTCATCTGCATGTGTATTCAATTGCAGACGTTCAGGTCTCTCCTCAACCACAGTAAAAAGTTAATTTGGATAGGAAGTTTGATAATGATTAAATTCAAAAATCCTTTTCATAAACGAGGGAAAAAATCCTTCCCTCACGATTAGAATGATTGCGCTTCAAGTCTTCCACACGACCTAATTAAAGCTGTTGGCGCTACCGACGAATATCTTTCAGCAGCACCCAAGTGGTAAAAGTGGTCATGTTATTTAAATGGTAGTTGATGCAGTCGCAAACAACTTCAGAATTAGCCTAAACTGAGAGAGACTTGCCTGTTTCAATTCCTCACTGCCAACCTCAAGTTGAGCGATAAGGGCCTCCAAATGACTACGCCGTTTGCACACAAAAGCCTTGTTAGCGGGAGCACCAAAGGTGAGATTCGTGAGCGCCACACAGATGTAGCGACGCAAAGCCAAACTCGCTTCCGCCGTCGACATAGCTCCTGTCACAGCAGTCGTTTCGCCACGCTCCCCCACCGCTGCCACCGTCGCGGAAGATGATTGGTCTAAGGGTGCAGCACCCAGACCTGCACCCGTAGGGGGCGTAGTGGAGTGCACCTGGGAGGTGTTGGTGGGTGCGGCAAGGGCATTAATGTGACCGCGATCACCCCGCAACTGCCACCAGGCATGTTCCCATCGCAGAAGACTTAGCAGAGCATGCAGACCTCCTGTTAGGGAGGGCAAGAAAAGTCTCAGACTCAATTCATGCGACCAAGATTGAAGTCCACTGGAATCAGTGCCCTTCTTGTGGGAAATGGTGATAAACAGACAATTCAATAATACTTTGTTTCATGAATTACTCATGGTTTTAGCAAAAAATATCCAACTCATCCAGAGGCAAATGCTTCCAACATCATCTTAAGGGGCAACTGGATATTATCATGCAGAGGAATTACTTAACAGAATTAAAAGGCAACTTAAAGCATTTTCTGAATACAAATGAACAAAAAGGTAAATAAGTGTATAATGTGAAAGAGGAACGAATGAATATTAAATACCTAAAATGCACCCTCAACAAAGGAAAATTAAAACTTGTAAATGGGAATCGGGACGATTCAGGTTTGGAGTTAACTTCACTTCACCAAGGAATCCTTTTGAATAAAGCGAACCTAAACCTAAGCTGGGAAGACCTTCTCAAGGACTGTACTAGAGCTTTTGATGAATGAATGGGTCTAACACAATTATGCAAACTACTCAAGTGAAGATGAGATGGAAAAAATTGGTGATAGATCGGTAATGCGGTAGAAGAAGCATGAGATGATTCCAAGTTTACACGTAGCTTTTAGAACAGTTGGTGTGGATGTGGTGGATGCTAACTTCTTCGATCTCGAAAAAAAGGTGCAAAACACAAATAAACAGGGAAATGACAACAGAAGTTTAAATTATTCGGAAATGGCCGTTACCAGAAAATGAATGTGCCAAGTGAACACGAGAGAGGCTTCGTGCAAAAAATTGCGTGAAAATGCTTTTTAAAAGCTAAGTTGTTTGGCTGATGCCTCAGAAACGAATTCTACGAACACAGTAACAAAAAGCCCTGGGAAAAATGGAAGAAAAAGGAAAATTGTTTGCGTCAAGGCTGCGCATTTTGGGAAGACCAAAATGGAAAGGAAAAACGCCATAACTGAGTAGATTGCCCACATCGGTGTATTAGAAATGCGTAACAACGACAAGGTTTCCACCTATTATCAAGAGTGATGGAATGGCGAAAGGAAAGTTGCGGTTCTAACAGTGGAAAGAGAACAGAAGACATAAATATCTATAGTATGAATGTTAAAATGTTTGAATAAAAATAACAAGAGAAGGGAGAAGGAGGAAAGCGCTAAATGGCATTGAGTGTTTATCTTGGACATAACAGGCGGTGATAAAAAGATTGTCAGTGGCATGAAAACAAAAATAAGGGCCCCATCGAATTAATGTTTATTCTTGGAGCAATTCTAAACGAAGATAAGGCTGCTAGATCATGTTGTTAAGACTCCCCTCGAAGGTCAAAACACGATGATTTCGCAGAGCAAGTAAAAACCATAAACATCGCATTACGTACCAAGATCGCAGATGGCCTGTCGATGATTTGGATGGAAGGAGAGGCGGACAAGAGCAGCCACTTCGGGCACAGGCACATGGGTGGGTGCGGCGCGCTTTCCATCGTCAGGCGAGAGTCGGCCCTCCGCCCCCGCTATCGCTGCACCTCGAGCTGCGACTACACGCTCGCTCTGTGTCATTGTGTACACTTGTATGCGCGCCAGGAGTTGAGCTATGTCCAAATCACGTCGGCGCAGTGCAGGGTCAAGATGGTAGGCGGAGACCAATGTGATAAGAGCCTGAGGCAAACAGAGAGCTTGTCAATACTTGAATTTGGTGGACGCAAACATTACGATCGACCGCAAAATGGTATGGTAAAGTTCGCTTTCTCAAAGTGAGTGAAAACCCCTGAACCAAGCGTTCGGAATTGGTTGGTTCCCTTAACACTTATTTTAGAAGCCGAAAATGTGCACGCTTCCAGAAACCCACTGATCTCTTTCAAGTTAGATCACATATCGCGACGTTGGAGGAAATGAAACGCAATACAAACCATGTGGTTTCGTTTCGTTTACGAAAGCAAACATTTTCTGTGCATTCCAGATCCATCTATCCATCATTCTTCATTGCGCCGCGGTAAGAAAGAGGAATTTCGGCAGGCACACTTTCCACGGCCCGTGGCCTTGTGTACCGGCTCCATTGAAAATAGTATGCACCTACGTTAACATCAATCATACGAAGACAGAGCACTTGCAAATCCTCACCAACGTGACGCGCAAAAAAGGAAAACAAACCTCGTCTAATCGCACAAAGTTGTTAAGGGGGTAGAAATGGTTCGCCTGTAATACCACCAATCGCAGTTACAACTACTGCAACTAAAACTACATTAATCGCTAAAAGCAACTGTGCCCCTTAGTACCTATGGTACAATTAGAAGCCATTTCTGCAGATTGGGAGGTATGATAGACTACTCGCAAAACAATTCGATCATTACAATACTAGTTCTCTGGTGAATGAGTTTGTGACAAGTCTGCAATGCAAGTGGTATGATTCACCCGATCACGGAGAGAGAACAGATAGGCAAGGAAGGACACATCGACCTATACGTCATAGTGATTGCATGAACCTTGTTGAAGGGCATATAGAATGCTTGGAGATATGCAAAAGGACGTAAATAAAATATGGATAACAACTGGTGATTGGTGGCAGCACTCTGTCTGAATAATCTTATCTTGCACAGCAATGCAAGAGATTTGAAATTTGAGCCCTCCCTCAACACATTCGCGATGCGGATTGCAGAGAACAATTGGTCATTAAGTCCCAGCTCCATTATTGGTCACAAAAAATGACAGTTACTGGAGCCCTTTGAGAAACTACGACTCATCAGCAAGGGTGTACTAAGCATATCCAGCCTGACTTGGTGATAAACAACATGTCACGTGGTTTGATGCTGGACTCAGTCAAGAACATTAAATATTAACTCAATGGCAGTAGTCATGCTTTCAAAATCGTGGTAATGGCCAAAGTCTTGACGCCAATTGAGCTCAAAGGACAGAGTAAATGTCAAGTTTGAGGGACTCAATCAATCAAATCCACCTAGAAGGCCGTTCAAGCGTACAGCCATTAGTGTGGTAGACAGATAAGAGGGAATTTCAGAAGTCTAGTCAAAATGCCCAGAAGTATCTTTACATCAGTTAGTTGGCAAGCCGTCTCCTCTTGCTCACAATGGAAACAACTACGGTACCAAGGTAGGAAGTTTGTTATTTGCTACATAATCAATGGGATGGCGAACATTACTGAAAAAGCAAAACCAAACTTTGCAGTGCTATTTTTTTGGGCAAAACTTAGATAGAATTAAGGCCCAGCGCTTTGCACACAAACCTGATACCCAAAATTGTAAAAAGTATTTTGGCAATGTGATCCATATTCATTGTATAGAAGCGTTACTCCAAGCCTTAAAACGATACCTAAAGTATCACAAAAAGACAATCCGTTTCGTGGAGTGCAAATGACACGATCGAACTCATGAACTCAAGCTTCGCATGAACCGTACCGAAGGAAACACCTGTATCGCGATTGTCCTCAGAGCTGAAATATACCACAACAGCGATGACAACTCCGGAATGCGAAGTAGTCACATCTGCTAGTCAGAGAAAGACCATAAAACTTGCATTGCTCAGGTTGACACTGATGTTTAGTTTGGAATGTTTTTTGAAGGAAGGGGGGCGTTTACCAGTAACTCAGGCTACTAATTGTATTGCTGCGCTCAGCACTGATGGAAAACATTAGCCAGGATTGCATGCAAAATCCCGTCAAGCTCTCACAGTTGACAAGGCGAATTTCC